CAGCTTTCCCCCGGTCGAGGGATCCATACCTTCAAAGGTCTCGCGACGTGACCTCGCTCATAAAAGGAAAATGCCGGACGGGCGTCAATCCTGGAAGGGAAGACGCGAAAGCAGATACGAGCGACGAGCACTCGACTCGAGGTGAAATGAAAACCCAGGTCCTTCGATGTTTTATGCAACAAAGAACATCTCGAAGCGGAGCAACTCGAAAACTCCCCCGGTCCAAATTATTGATTCTCCAGAGGGGGAGAGGGGACGTGAAACTTTTTGCTCGTTCTTCGAAAAAATATTCCTGATCCCTCTTTACGAGTTATTCTTCCGGATTGTCGCGCCCCCGAGGGTAACTTTTCATCCACGACTGAATATTTCATCGCGGTACAAGAGGTTACACAGTCGCGATAAGACAAACGAAAGGTTTGAAGGCAACGGTAATTCCATCTAGACGAAATTGTCGAGATTCTAACTGAGATCGAGTTTCTCCCTTCGCTTTCCAATTTTTATTCATCTCCTTTCGTATTGATCGAATGGAACGAATTTTTTTAGACACTCTACATGTTTCTGGATTTTCAGAAATGCACGCGCTGACAGAATATAAAAATCTCAACTTACTCGAGATTTCTCGTAATTCTGATTACAACCTATTTCGCGTAGATTCTCGATGTTTAAGTACGAGAACAATATTAAAAGCTCTTGTTCGAGATTTCTGGTAATTGCGATTATACCATGAAACTTTAGCTCCCGTTTCCATCGACAATTCCGCGCGAGAGCAAATCTTTCGTCGTTACGAGCGGCGCGTGGAAGTGGAGGAACGGCATAGTTTCTCCGACGACTTCCGGCGGCCGCGGTGGCTCCGGTCGCGTTGACATGTTTAATGCAACGGGCTGGTGTGCATTCGGGTGCAGCGCGCCGTGGCTGCCGCATAAATATTTAAGTTGCCCGCGTTGCGTATAAGTGATACAACTATTCCATTATCGGAAACAGCCGGTCTCGGGCTAAGGAACATCGGGACAAGAATCGCGACCACGAGTACAGAGAGAAAGAGAGAGAGAGAGAGAGAGATGAAACGTCGCTCATGAATTATTCATCCGAACTGCTACCGGTACTTTTTGACGTAACCACCCACGCTACTTATAACAGTGTTTCCACTTTAATTATATTCGGAAAGACGATCGATACTCTAGAGGGAAAGTCATAACGCAAGAGTAACAAAAATCTTAAGAAGCGGAATATAGTAAGAAAAAGAAGAAGAAGGAAAAGGACGGAGGAAAGATATTACAGGGGACATTATCTCGATAGAATGTAAGATCAATAAGAATTCGATTAAACCGAGGAAAAAGAGGGTGGTTCGATCGTTGCCTCGAGCTTTAAACCTGCTTCCCAAAAATTGTACCGCAATCTTCGATATCTTTCTCATTCTACGAATATATTTCGTATTAAAAACCGTCGAATATTTCATCTAATTGAATCGAATTCTAGAACAATTCAACTTGACTTTCTTTCACAGAAGAATAGTATTTTTCTGTCGTCGGTGTTATTAACGGTTGGAAAACAAGGCAATCCGGGTGATTTGGAAGGGCCAAAGGCAATTCACGATAACCGGTCTTTCCGCAAGATTGTACGAAAACAGGTTGCAGGGTCCGGATAACGGAAACCGCGGAAACCTGCGGGGTCCACTCCGTAGTTTGACCTCAATGGAGTCGTGTGGCATTTACATAACATTCTGGGCTATCGGATTTTCGGCAATCGATGTTTGCTAAACGTTATAAACGACGCGGCGATGCAAATCAGGTTTGAACAACAATTCACCTTGCGCCGCTGCGTTACGCCGGATATTAACGGGTTCGCAATTTCGCGCCGTTGCGTTCGACATTCTTTACGAGCTCGTTCTCCACGCATTTTGGGGTCGTTTTATTGTAACCCGTGAAATTAATCTTCCGCGCGAAACACAGCTATCGACCTTTCATTCTCACCGTGTAATGTATTTGTTACGCGCCCGATTTATTACTCTGCCGGGGGAATTTTCTCACTCGCGAATAAGACGATCAAAACTTCCATTTTTTCTACACTTTCAAATATAAAAATCTTGCGTTTTAAAAGTTTTCCAGACGCATTTTTCAATTTTCTAGAATTCTCAGTTCTTCGAAGCTTCGTAAATATAAGAACACCTCAATTTTCTATGGATATACCTGAACAGAGTGTACGAGACACGTAAAGCAGAATTTCCAAATGCTCGATTCACGCGTTCCCTCGAATCTCCACAAGAGACACCAGGAATTTCTGGAAAATCTTCGTCCCTCTGTTGGATCGAGAGGACGAGGTGGGTCTCGCGGGCCTCGGTACTTGTTGAGCGGTGTGTCTGTTCTCGTGAAACAGGATACGGTCGAACGTAGGTGGAGCGGCCAGGAAATTAGATCAGCGCGGATTGAAGGGTCCTCCTGTTCCGGCGGAGACAGTCGGAAAGACGACATTGGCGTTGGAAAATGCATTCCTCGTGAAAGCGAACAGAGAGAGAGAGAGAGCCTTTCGATTTCAAAGTGGTATCGATCGCGACACGCCGAGCTTCGAGGAAAGACCAGCAGACTGTCTCTTCTATCTTCCCTTTCGAAACCGTATCGAGGAGTTTCAATTAATAAAATGCACCGTAAATTCTGGATCCGGAAACGAACGACACGAGGACGAGGATGCTTCGTTCCCGCGCAAACAGCGAATAAATTACGAGTCTATAAAAGTAGCCCGGCCAGCCGAAATTAGATTGCTTCCATTAACCATTGATTACCCCGCGGCCGAATGGACACCGATCCGACCTCGAATTTATTTCCAACGTTGCTCGATAATTAATTCGTTCCGTCCTGCGTGAAATTTCGCGAACGCGTTCCACCCCTCTTTCTCTCTTTGGGGCTGTTACTGTTATTCGTTCGGGTAACTGAAAAACCGAGAGCTCGGCCGTTTAGATCGCGATTTTTGTGGCCGAACGTGAGAAAAAGAGGGTCAGAGGGTTTTTATTAGCACAAGGTACGCGGTGCGCGTGGAAAGTAGGCAATACCATTAACCGGTAGATCTCTGAACTTCAGGCGAACTCAATTCCCCCCTGGTTTCTACCTAGAATCGCGATTCTAAGCTAGTTTCGTGTATTCGAGGTTTGATCAAAAACTTGCCGAGCACGGGTAAAAATACGGCTAGAAATGTTCTTCCTCTGTTTGTTCTTTTTAATAGATCGCGCGGTCTAATTTGTTCGCGACAAAATTGAAGAAAATTCACGTTGGAGTGAAATAGAATTTTCAAACGCACAAACGTCAATGTTTCACGATTAAAAACCTCCCTGTTCCTTTCAACGAATTCCGTATCTTTAATTCATGAGCTGTGGTCCATCATACGTGGGAACCTAAAAAAAACGATAGTATTTAATCGAAAGGGCGAATCGTTTCGACGGAGCCAGGAATAATCGAAGCTGTCGCGGTTCCAGGAAAGCGGAAGCGAAAAATACACGCGGGGAATAATAACAGCATCAGAGTGATATGGAGATCCAGGTGTATAAAATGATATATACAATACACGATTGTTCGAGACTCAAGGAGAATATAAATCACAGTACATTAACAATATTCTAAAAAAAAAATATCCATTAAATTTCAATATTCTTCCAACGATTACACTCCACTGATAAGTATTGCGCCACAAATTTCAATTCTCTAATCGAAACACCTCAGTACATACACGGAAACTTTCAATTTTCCTCTTCGTACCAAGAATTTGTATCTTCTCAGAAGAATCTATTTAAAAGGAAATACTGTATTATTGCAAATTTGGGGATGGAAATGTTTGCAATTAAACCTAGCGTCTCCTGAAGTAGGCCCTCGTGCGCCGTGTCCGCTGGACGTTCGCGGACCGGATGTAGGGTCGTTTCTGCGACATGTTCATGAATTCCCAACACCGTGCCGCGACTTTCGCGACCAGTTGCGACGGATGTTTCCCGTTGAAGTTTTCGCGAAGGTTCCAGTAGTAATGTATGAAGGGGTTGATCGAACGGCAGGCCAAGTTTCGCCGTCTTTTATTCCTCCTGTTCGGAGGATTTCTCGTCTGATTCTGCATCGATCCCTTCCATTTACTTAACTGCATCATTTCGATTAACAACGATCCACGCACGTTCGTGGATATTCACTGTGGAATTTTCTCGCGTTTGATTCTTCCGACATTGACGTTTGTTAATGTTTTTCGGCTTGAAGATTGTCCGAGTTGCACGTTCGATCGATTTTTTATTTCGTTAGAAACCAACTTCTCTGTTCGTCCTTTAGTAATTACGTACGCTAAATATGCATCAATTTTCGAGACACCGTGCTGGTAATCCGTGGAGCTGCTTAAATTTCGTACGAATAATTCACGCTTGCTTTTAATAACGATAAAATTGGTGGTAATGTAAGGACTATATTTATTACTTCGTCGTCGTTGACTACGCGGTTCAATTTGTTCTCCTACAATCCTTACAATTCTCACGAGTCTCACAATCCTCCCCAGTGCTCGTAACGCGTCCTTATATGCGAGCCTTGACGCGCCCCCTTTTGCCTTCGGGAAACCCTGGCGCAAGTTGGGGGTTTCTACTCGGCAAGGACCGCGTCTCGCGAGCACCTGGCTGGGTCCTTATCTGCCGCAGCCCTTAAAGCGTGGGGGAGTCAGGCGTTGGGACCGAGAGGTCTGCGGGTCATAAACCGGCCCGAGTCCCTACCTTCACTCACCCATATTCTTACACCTCCAGGAAACCCTGACGCAGGTTGGGGGTTTCCTCAGAGCAAGGCCCGCGTCTCGCGAGCACCTGGCTGGGTCCTTCCTGACCCAGCCCTTAACGCGTGGGGGAGTCAGGCGTTGGGACCGAGAGGTCTGCGGGTCATAAACCGGCCCGAGTCCCTACCTTCACCCAACCATACTCTTACAGTAATAAATAAAAGTGAAGATACTGTTTTTTTTTTTCATTTTTCACTCAGTTGTCGAGAAAGTAATTTACTCACATGGCGCTGCGTGTGTCTGGGATGTCACGATTACTCGGGAGTCCATCGGAGGCTTCCTGATTGAATTTGTTCCTAGCGTAAGGATCCTCTCCTGCTCTTAATCCTCCTCTCGAAACGTACCTTGAAAAATAATGCAAACACGGGAAATGCTAGATTGTCGAGGGGTAGAAACGACGTGCAACAGGGTGGTTTTCAGTGGGAAATTCGGTTGTTCGTGTCGACGTCACGAATGATACGTTGTTCTTGCGAACCGGTGAAATAATTAATATCAATACGGCCGGTAGAGAGAAGCCGCAGCAACGTTGCGGATACATTAATAGTGGATCTTGCAATGCTTTTTCGGACGTTTAACAATGCATACGGTTGGCACTCGTGCCGATTAGTATTCAGTTCTTGCGTCTACCGGCGAGATTGCATTCCGACCGCTTTCCAAATACTTTCTATTACTGCATCGTCGAGCCCGTAGCTTAGCTTGCATTAGAATTACATGCCGCAACCCTGTCCTGTTGCCGTGAAAATTCAATTTTGCATTTTGACGACTCATAAATATTCATCCGTTTCATTTGAATGCAGTTAAAGCTAACTATTTCTTTGACACCGCGTCAGAGTGTGGTTCAATGTTTTCCAAATCTGTTATCGAGTATCTGTTGCGTTCCTAACGCGAAGGATAATTTTTTGAAATTTCAAATTGGTCTCACGGTTGTATTTTATAGATGTCAGTTTATTTGAACGTGTCACCGCGTTATTGCCGATCGATAGCTGCATTTTGAAATGCGATTTGTACTAGCGACCGAGTCATTTTGGTTAATGACGCGTTTCGACATTTTTATATAAAAATCCGCGGTTGTCTTACCGTCTGATCGTAGCTCTGTTTAATAAAGCAACTCAAAATACACTTTTTCGGTTCCTCTGCGATCGATACTACACCAAACTTGGCTCTAGAACGTTAAATTCTAATAGAGATAGGGTAAAAAGTGTTTCATTCTTTATATGTTTCAAATGTGTGATGAATTTGCAATTTAGATTCTTTTCAGCCCTTGTATCTCCTAATACGAAGTTGCAAAATTAAGAATTATTGAATAGAAAATGGGCAAATATGCAAAGATTCCCAAAAGTTGGCTCTAGAACATCAATTTCTAACAGGGACAGGGTAAAAACTGTTTCACTCGTTGTACGCTATAAATGTGTGACGAATTTACAATGTAGATTTTCTTCAACCCTTGTCTCTTCTAGTGTCGACTTATAAAATCAAGAATTCTCGAATAAAAATTAGGTAAATATGCAAAGATTGCACGTATGTGTTAAAACAGCAAGTATCTAGTAAAATAGTCTTACCCCTGCTCGTCGAAGTAGTTCCACGTGACCCTGGGATCAGGAGTGGGCACAGGTAGCAGTTCGGAGGACATCACGATGGCTGTTCCATCTGGGTCCACGTAGCTTCCGGAGTTTCCGGCGGAGAGGGCCAACGATGCAGGCTCCTTCAATCGCAGGGCTCTGTTTTCGTTCTGCAGACAAACAACGATCCCCTTGAAGGCGCTTCATGAAATTTCCCGCCGGAATCTACTCGTGTCTCGCGCTAACATTGCACCCGAGGCACAAACACCGTATCGATAAAGGATCTCTTCGACAAAGTGACGAGTAACTTGCATTACAGCAACGATATATTAAAGAGAATACAAGAGAAGCGAAAAACTGTTCGATCAAATTTCACAGGCTCTATTCAATAACATAGACACTCTTGCATGATCGTAAATGATAGCGCAATAATCTGCACACCTAGACACTTCAGACGCTCATTTGGTATTTATAAGAAAGCAGGTTTCGTCGAAAACGACGCGTGACCCTTCCGCGAAAATTTCGCTATCCCTTCTGATACCTCCGCAAAGTTATTACCCCGAGCTATCGTAGTGACGACTACGATCCACCTTGATTCTTAAAAATGTACAATTATTTTCAAGCAAAATTATCCACAGTTCCGTAAATTTGCTCCAAGTGTCGACACATTCTACGCTCGATCCAGGAACGTCTCGCGATAACTTCCCCCGAAAATTGCACAGCTCGAAGCGTGTTTTCGGGAGTCGACGACTCGGCGGAGGTTCCTCCAAGGATCTATCGCCGCTTCGACGGTGTTTGATCCACGGGATCGTCAGCCGGTGGCAGGTAGACGATCCCTGAACAGTGGGGAGTTTTCAGCGTGACGAGAGTTGAATCGATGCAAGAATCGTCGGCCTTCGCAGCACCCGGGGCCTTTAGTTGGCTTCGGTACAAGAACCAATTGTAAGGCTGGCAGGGCTGGCTGCACGCTGGGCTCTTTGTATTGACACATCATCGAGATACGCCGTATTGATTTTGAATCGATACGGAGAGAGTCGCGAGGCACTTGCTATCTCTCTCTCGCTCTCTCTGTTCCTCCTGCATGTATATATGCCCTTTGTGCCCAGAGGAGGCATTGTGCATCAGATATAGGTCATCGAATTTTGCTCATCGACTTCCTCCTCCAACCTAGCGGGATCTCGGCCTGTCTGTTTGCTTAGCATAGACGCGCGTCAGCGACCTGTAGTCACGACGAAAAGACCCGGTGTTCAGGTGTGTCGATGAACCGTCGAATTGCGGCGAAAATTAACCTATTCGAGACTCGGGTCTCGTTACGATACCGTCGTTAAGTGTACGGTGTCTTTTCTAGCTGCACCGAAGGACTTGGTTAATCAAGATACGTGTAATTCTGAGTTGAACGTCTTGTTTGTAGTACTGTCATGCCGTAGTCGAACAGGGATTTAAAATATCCAACACTCGTTTCACAAAATGGATCTTTATATCTTGTAATCAGGTATACGCTTCAGGGGTGACTCGCGGAGTTTCAAGTTTCCCGGGTTTTGTCTCTCTACTTCGGAGAATGATCTGCGGCGTGAAAGCGGTTTTTCTGTTTATAACGCGAGGGGTGGTTAAAATTCGCAAAGGAGGGAGGTCTGTGTCACGGTTCGAGGATGAGTAAAGAATCGGAGGAAAGTATGATAGGAAGAAATGTATTTATCCTAACAATACTATAAATATTTCACGAGTGAACGGAAGGGACACGTTGAATATAATGGGTAGTAGAGGGAAACAGCGATGGAATTTAAAAGAAATGTTCATTCATGAATTTTGTTAGGATGTGCTCGTGGCAGTTGCAACCAACTTTCGAGCCTTGTCGAATTTAGCACGTGGTGTGCCGACCAAGTCTAATAGGTTCGTCTTCGAAGGACCACCTCCGTGATTAGAAGGAAAAAACAACTATTGCTAATGGTCTAAACTTCTAAAAGGAGTCAGATGACTTCTGTCTTTCCCTTTTCTGTCGTTCCCTTCCACGAAAGGTCCCACGACACCTCCGTGCGAGGACGCATCGCGGGGGTGATGTACATTTTTCGATAGTGGGAAAAACTACACGAAAATGCCACCCCCCAGACCATAGGTCACTCTCAGGTACCAAGCGTACCCTTGAGTGACGCACGCGGGAATTCCGAGTGCCTCGAACAATGACCGTAGCAGACAATAACGTTAAGACGCGCTTCGGCTCTCGTGACCATATGAATGCAAAAAGTGTACAAGTAAAAAGGGGCGAATAAGGTGAAAGCGAGTTCTTAGATTGAAAGACTACGATTGCCGTGGCGTCATAAAATTACCGCTGCTACGAAACGAGCGAAGGCGAAAAATATATAAAATAGAACTTCATGCTAAGAAATCTAAGGGTCGGGCTGCCGGCATACCTGTCGAGGATTAAACACTAAGTAATAAATACAAACATAATGAATATTCATCGACGAGAGACACGACAGATGCAAAAATCTGTACACTCTGGTCGAACTGGCATCGAGCAATGTCACGGTGCATTAAGATAGGAACGAAACAGCGGGGTGATCGTGGATCGATCGACGGTAGAAAAGGGGCGAGCGCAAACAATCCCCGTCGTCCCGGGAGTGTGTTGTAAATAACGATACGTTCGACGAGGGTGGTAAATGGCGTGGCTCGGATTCACGGTCAAAGATGCAGAGAAAAGTAAATGACTCGAACGGGAACAAAGGACCGAGTCGAGCAGTCGATGGAAAACGCACCGTGAAAGCTAAGAGAAGGAGAGAGAGAGAGAGAGAGGGGAGGTGCGACAAAACGTAGTCACGATGAAATATTAATTCACGGGTCAGGAGCTGCATTAAACCGGAAGTGCAGTCGGCTAGCCGCCTCGACGCGCGGCAAGCTGTTGCATCCGGTTTCCTCGCGAACCGCGTGACGTCGGAACCGGCGTCCGGTCCACCGAAATGAAACTTGATGAACTTGCCAACCGTACCGTCGACGTGTAATAATTCTTCCTTTTTTTTCGCAGAAATTAATCCATGATTTTTTTACATTCTTTTTAATTTGGGATCTGGAATTTTACGGTATTTTTATTTTTATGGCTTAATGATTCTGGGGTCGAGAATTTATCCTGTGGACACTATGTGGGACACATTACCAATCGAACGAATTGCCGTTGAACAGATGTGTATCATAAATTATGGAACAAAATTTCTGAATGATACATTAAATGATAGATCTACTCGATCGCTACAGTTGGTAAAGAACACTGTAAAATAGAGCTGAAATTATGGAAGAAAATTTCTTAGAGTAGCGAATGAGAATGAACCATTATTCATTATGAATGATAGATCTACTCAACCGATTGACAATGTGTTAAGATAAATTGCACAGGGATGCAGCAAGTTAAAGCGTACATAATTAAAGTTTCTTATCAATTGCAGTCGCTCGCAAGAACACAGTTTCAATTTCTTCCCCGTTTCTCTTCCTTCGCTAATCCCCGCTGCCCGCAAAACAAGTATATATTTCTATGCATCGGACGATCGATCGGCGGACGAAGTTGCATCGGGTAATCTGCGACACGATCGCGGGCTCGTCGCATTATCTCTTTTCGCTTGACAAATTCGCCGCACGTATACGTCATAAAATTCATTGCGCGTGCAACGATTACGCGAAGCGCCCGGAAATGCAGCGGCGCGGGCTTATCGCGATAGACTTGAACAATGACCGTGGGCTCTCTGGCCGGAGTGGACCGTGTACAGGACACGAAAACGGAAGCGCGAAAAAAAGGCGTCGCCGCGTTGGACCGGAACCACGTACGGTCGCATGCAAACCCATCCAAATTCCCGATACCCCTCTCTATTGTCATCCTCTCGATTCGCCAAACACCGCGAGTCTTCCCTGATCGTGTTAAGATGAAATGTGCTTTTTCGAAAATCGATTTTTATTCCTGAAAAGTGCAGCGGACTGAACGACGATTTCTTTGTGAAATCGATGGGACTCTTTATTAACCCCTTGGCAGTCCTGTGTCGAGACAGACTTGACGTAAGAACATTACGCTGAAATATTGAAATAAAGGGAAACTACGCGGTACTGCCCGAGAGTGGCCAAATAAGTGCGGACTAATTGGACTATTTGGACCGCAAAGGGTTAAACAGTAAGATAAAGGCAGTTGGTCTGGTTCGAGTTACGATAGATACCATCGAGAATATTACAGTTCGTGCAAAAATGATTAAAAATAGAATTCCATCTCTTTAATGGATGGAATCTTTAACAAATAGAATTACATCTCTTCATTCCTCAGTGGAGCGCAATTGATTTTTCATTCGCTATTCTTGCGCTCTTCGTATTCTCGTCCTAAAATCTACGTGGCCCATGACGTGTCGAACATTTTTATCTCGCGCAGTCCTATCGATCTCGAACTTTTACACAAGCAAGAGCGTTCAATTTAATCGAATAAACATTCCAAAACACGTAACTTGATTAAATCTTCAACTTCACCGATAAGAATCTCGCTTGGATAATTTCGTCTAACGTTAAATCACCGTCGTCCCGGAAGAACTCTAAGTTGTCGCGCCAAGCTACCATACTTTCCTCCACCATAGATCAATGACGTTCAACGAACCGGTAGTTTCTCGTTTCTGGTTGCGTTAATTGCAGAGTAACGCGTCGCAGGATTCATCGAACCTGTCCTTAATTACCGATCATCGAACGCTCCTCCGTGCAATTTCTACAACGATCACACGTTTCCAATTTTCACAATAAATCGCTCCGCTGAACTGTACTCACGATTATCGAACGTAATAAGGAAGAAAAGAGAAACAGAGAGAAGAAAGGTAAAGGTGGATGAAAAATGGTGGAGAAGTTGTGCTCGAATGTATAGAAACGTAGATACATCTACCGGTCGGGTAATTCTCTGTTTCTTGGTATTTCGTGCGGCTAACCAAAATCGAGCAGGCTGATATTGGCGCGGTACGTGATTCCGCGATTATTATCGACGAGGGTCGCATTATTAATCTCGTTATAGCCAACTGACAATGCTAGCGCAAACGTAACCGAATTAGAGTTAACGATATTGGCCTGTTTCGATATTGCCGCGCGAGAATACATTTTCCCCAAGTAAATTATGATGACGCCGCCATCAGTCATTGGGAAACGTTATGTCACGAGGTGAACCGTA